TACCCAAGATTTATAGATTTGCCTGTATCGTATAGGTTGGTATGTTTAAAACATTTTAGCCCAGCCGGCATGGCTTAGTGGTTGTGGGCTTGATCCCCAGTGTGGGATGTGGAGGAGGCAGCGGATCAATGATTCTCTCTCATCATGGGTGGTTCTCTCTCTCTCCAGCTGGTGTGTGGCTCAGTTTTGAGCGTTGATCTATGAACCTGTCGGGGCACATGCCTGTGTTGTGGGCTCGATCCCCAGTAGGAGGTATGCAGGAGGCAGCCGATCAATGATTCTCTCTCATCATTGAGGTTTCTATCTCTTTCTCCCTCTCCCCTTCTCTCTGAAATCAATAAGAATATATTTAAATTTTTTAATTAGAATCAACACTTGTATTTTTCAATTTATTCTCAGCACAATAATTATGTAAACCAGAATTAATTTTATAGTGTAACAAATAAAAGAAAGCATTTATTGGAACAAAAAGAGCTGTAGCCTGGGAGACACAGATTCAGGTAGCAACCTAATTTGTGTTCCACTGAGACAAAAGGGAGGCCACCTTTTATAGAGAAAGTTGCTGCCTTTTAGAGAGAAAGGTTCTGCCCAAGTTCCCAATTCAGTCTGTTTTATGCAAGTTGGGGCGGGTCTCAGTTCATTGGTGAAAAGACAGAACCAGGAACATCCTTGCAGTGGTTGACTCAGGGTGTAAGCACGCAAGGGAATAGTACAGGAGGCTGAAATCTCAGTCTGTGTGTTTTCGTGAAATGCAGAGTGCACCAGAGGCCTCTGTCAGCAGTGGCCGCCACCTGTATACATGGCAGAGACCCCAGGAAAACCGCACAACTCCCAGTAATGGTGCAAACCCACACCTTCAATATCATTTCTAGCTAAAAACATAAGGTGTGGTGGGAAGGGGAAGGCCAGTTATAGCAGGTTATCTGGAAAGGGTAACAGTCAACAAGGGTAAGGTTGTTAGGCAGATTTAAGCCCTTGCTCTGTATTGCTAAAAGTTTCTAAAGACTTTGAGTCATTCTCTAACTGGTACAGAGGGAACACCCTTGCACATGGAGATTTTCCTTATACATGTAAATGTTTCTTACAAAAGGGTAACTTTTACTCAGTTTTCAGAGCTTCCCCTGTGTCTGCAGTTTCTTAAAAATAAGCAGCCTAAAATAATCCTCATGCCAAGTAGGCAGATTTTGAGGTGACAGATTGTGCTCCCCTTCACGTTCATGGTGGAGTTCTGCAGCCCTGTATTCTCAAGGGGCCAGAACAGGAACTATCAGTATATCCCTCTTCTAGAAATATTGAAGCCCGGTCTAAAATGATGTATTTTTTCTCTTTATTTCCATTTGGCATCCTTTACTCACTTTTAATTCAGCATTAAATTGATGAATACTTAGTGATTACATACATGACAGTGTTGTCAATTGCTCTATGCCAGTTTGGTCATTCATCAATATATATCACTTTGGTCATTCGTAAATATATATAATAAATATATATCAGTATATCCTTCATAAATATATATTCACTAGGGGCCCAGTGCATGAATTTGTGCACCTTGAAAAGGACTGTGGGCTGCGAGGCTGCGGTGGGCACAGGGGCGGGTCTTGGCCCATCCTCCTCACACCTGCCCTGCCCCGCCATGGCCCCGGTCCCCTGTCTGCCGCTGCCACTCCCACACGCTGACGGTGCCACTCGCATCTGCTGATGTTGCGGAGAGATTGGGGCCAGCGCCGTCAGCGGGTGCAAACAGGTGCAAGCAGATCCGGCACTGGCAGCGGGTGAGAGAGGTGGCTGCCGGCCCTGATTGCCCCTCAGGAGCAGGGGGAGGTGGATAAGCCCTGAGGAGCGATCAGGGCAGGCAGTCACTTCTCGCACCCACTGACAGCGCTGACCGATTTGGGCCGGTGCTGGGTGCCAGCAACGGGTGTGAGTGGGGCCAGTGCTGGCAGCAGGTGTGGGTGCCAGGCAGGACCGCAGTGTGCAGGAGCAAAGAATTTTCAGTAACCACCAGAGGATCGCCCTGATGATAGCAACTGACGCCCTGCCTTGGTCTGGCACCCCTGCTCACCTGCTCCACCATCCTGACGCAGCTGATGCCGGCTATGTTCTGCACGCGCCCCCTGGTGGTCAGTGCACATCATAGCAACCAGTTTGGTTGTTGCGCAGTTCGGTCTATTTGCATATTAGCCTTTTATTATATAGGATAACTACATTTCAGGTCATTAATAAATGTATATTCAATACATAGAACTAGGTGAGAGCTATGAATATTTTCTCTACACTTTCCAACCCAATTACCAAAAGATAAGTTTCAGATTGAATACTACTGTAGGGATGGAAAATTTTTCCCTTCTTCCTTTCTAGGTTCTTTGGCTAGTCTAGTAGTTAAACTGACTTAAGACAGACTAACAGGAGGAAAACAATTTTTATATATATGGTAGCCCCATAAAAATGTGAGACTTCCTGGTAGTCAGGAAATTGAGGCTTACATCCACCTTGAACTGAGGAGAAGAGGGTAGGGCTCTGGGCTTCAAAGGAGAGTAGAACAATTCACAGGAAGTTAGGCAGAGCAAATGCTTGGTAAACAAATGTTTGCCATGCCATGCAGATAAATCTTTCTGATTTAAAAAGTTTTCTCTGATAATAGCTCTCTTCCTGGCACAGAGCCCTTATCTAAATTCTTTTAGGTAGTTAAGTGGGAAGTACAAGTTCTTCCTGAGTCTGTTGGGCCCCTATTGTCTTCAGCTTGAAATAACCCACTTGCCGAAGTGGCACATTTCGGGGGAGGGGCGGGGGAGGAAGCACGTTTTCTGTTCTCTCTTACTACCTTTACTGAAAACTTAATAAAACCCCAGCTCTGTTGTCCTTTTAGGTGTTCCAGCAACATCTTCTCACCCCTTACTTTTTCTTACTGAGATATAATTCATGCAACATAAAATTCACCATTTTAACATGTTCAACACAGCTTGGTGTCCAATATAATTTTTAATTTTTATTTATTTATTTAAAATCTTTATATTTGAAAGTACTACATATGTTCCCTTTTCTCTCCCATTGACTCCTTATAGCAAACCCCTGCACACTTGCCCCCAAATTGAGGTAAAATTTATATAACATAAATAAATTAGTCATTTTAAAGTGTACAATTCAGTGGCATCTAGTATATCCACAGTGTTGTACAACTATCACATCTTTCTAGTTCCAAGATATTTTATTTTTTTTAGAAAATATATTTTTATTGATTTCAGAGAGGAAGGGAGAGGGAAAGATAGGAACATCAATGATGAGAGAGAATCATTGATTGGCTGCCTCCTGCACGCCTCCTCCTGGGGATTGAGCTGGCAACCTGGGCATGTGCACTGACCTGGAATCGAACCTGGGACCCTTCAGTCCATAGGCCAATGCTCTATCCACTGAGCAAAACTGGGTAGGGCATAGTTCCAAGACATTTTAATCACCCGAGAAGGAAACCCTGTATCCATCCAATAGCATCTTACCAGAAATATTCACTCAGCATAAATATGACAATATTCTAGTCGTGAGTTTAGCTAACTTCTAAATGGGATCAGGCCAGATGAATTGCCCAAGAAAGCAGCTGAACATGGGGCCATTTTGGAATAAAGCCAAAGGTGCCATTTGAAGGATATAGATCTCTGGGCTTACTAGATTTTTAGAACCTGAACTGGTAAAGACAGTGCCTAGTCAATATTGGTAACTGATTTTTTTTCATTTTGAATATAATTATTTCACTAACTAAAACTCACTTCTATAATCCTTTATGGTAATTAACAAAGCTTCCTGTGTTGATCAGAGATAAACTACTGACACATTTTATCAGCTCCTTCTAAAGTGTAGGCTTCTGATAGAAATTTGCTAAACACTCCCAAAGCGTATCTTCCTAATTAGGATAACTGACCACCCAAACACACTCACTCATATTTATTATATTGTCCATGTTGAATTACCCTGATGTTACACCATATGCACAATTAAATTTTGCAACTTTAATGATAAAAATTGGTCAAAAATGGGAGCAAAGGGAATATTAAAATGGAGCTTTCAAGTAGCCTGTGCCCCAGGTAAAGCGTAAATGGTAGCCTAAATCTACTGTTCTCTTAGTTATCCTCAATTACCATGTTTTTCTCAGTATGTGAGCATCTCACCATGTTGACAATTATTCCAATCATTAAAGATCCTCCCCTCCCCTCATACAACATGGCACCTAAACCTAAGGAAGCTATTTCAACTGCTCTTCAACAAGAGGCCTTTGCTTCATTCGACATGGGAGAAAATTGGGCTGTGTTGTATTACTGAATGAGGCACAGTTTTCAGTGGTTAAGGGTATTCAAGGGTATTTTTTTACTATCTTTGATTTTTACTAACTACTTTATAATCTGCCTTTCCTACCTGAGTGTCCCACCCACCCAAACACATAACAGAATGTGAGATGAGACTGGGTCTGGCATTGAGCTGGGTTCTTTGAGGTTCCTGAGGAAGTGTAAGGCGGGGTCTCTGGTACACTAGAATTTCAGATATGCCTGTTTTAATTGCTCTCAAGGCAAGCAATCAGTAGGGCCAGAAGTCAGGATAATTTTATCCTAGATCCAAGGTAGTTTTATGTTATTTTTAATGGGAAAAAATGACAAAACATATTCATCTTGTGAGAAAGAATATTATTTTGTCTATAACACATACATATAGAATCCCACTGTGAAATTACAAAGACAGACAGTTCAATTCATGGTAGAGATGAATGATGAATTTATTGCTTTAATATCATTTCCTCATTTGAACCAGATGGTGATGAAAATATAAAATAATCTTTATATACTGAAATCTGGATTATATATTCATTATCATAGCTCATGTGTAGAATATCTTCTTGCAAAATAGCCTCAACTTTTTTTCTTTACAGTAATAAAAAGGATATGGACAGTAAGTAGCTTTATTGATTTTAAGTTTGCTGATTTTTTTTATTTCTTAGTTTCTAATTATGATTCCAACAGGTATTAGCTTTTGATGCATATGAAGAAGCTGAAATGGATGATAAAAGGCAAGAAGACTATAGAATAAGACGCTATAAAATCTACTTCTACCCTGAAGATGACACAATTGAAGTAATTGAACCATTTGTAGAAAATAGCGGACTGCCTCAAGGTATCTATTTAAAGCAGAGTTATAGTTCTTTATTTTTTAACTTCTGCTTTTATATACTATCTTTCTCTAGCTTTTTAAAAAGACCTCATGCTGCCCTAGCTGGTTTGGCTCAGTGGATAGAGTGTTAAAGGATCCCCGGTTCAATTCCCGTCCAGGGCAAGTACCTTGGTTGCAGGCTTGCTCTCCAGTCCTGGTCAGGGTGAGTGCAGGAAGCAACCAATTGATGTGTCTCTCTCACATCAATGTTTCTTTCTTTCTGTCTTCTCCCTCTCCCTTCCACTCTCTCTAAAAATCAATGGAAAAATGTCCTTGGGTGAGGATTAACCAAAAAAAAAAAAAAAAGACCCCATGCTACTTTTCATGTGTCTAACTTGCTGGCCACGGTGAATATACACATGCTATTAGCTTGTATTTACTAGTAGTGACTTATCAAATTTCTTACCCCCTACCTCAACATTGGCCATTTCTCTCACTCTTCTGTGACATACTTGTATCCTTTCAGGTGATGTTCTAGTATGAGCAAACTCTCCCATGTCTGACTTTTTTCTTCAGATATTTTGGTCTTTTTGCTATGATCATATTACTTCCTTCACAACACTCTCAAGGGAAGAGAGAAGATGGTTTTCTACTGCCACTTCTAGATTGGTCTTCACTCTTTTCTTGAATTTACCGCCATTTGCTTCAACCACCCTTTCATCCTCATACCCGTTCACTACAGACTTTGATGATACTTCGACAGAGGGTTATTGTTCTTTCACCCCATGTAAGCCAGTCATCTTTATGCATACTCCACTTCTACCAGACAAGCATTAACTCTGTGATGTGGCCACCTGAGAAGCTAATCCTGGGTGGCATTATTAGAAGCATGGCAGAGATCAAGGGAAGTGACTGATTTCTTCTGTTTATGCTATTAGTCAATCATGCGGGACAATGCTGAGTGCTATGCCTTCAGTGTATAGCAACCGTGATGGTAAAAGAACTGAAAATTGTCATATGTAAGGCAAATTATGGAAATGGAAAATCTGTAAAGGGAATACTTAGGTGTGCCTGCTAAATGTCTTCAGAAATCTAAAGGGATATCATGTGGAGGAGGGGTGACCTAATTTTCTGTATCCTCAAGTACAGGACCTAATAGGTCAGAATCCAGTTCAGTAAGAGGAATAATTTTCTGAAAGAGAGCTGCCAGAAGTTGTAGTGGATGGTTCTGGATGAGCATAGTCAGGGTTGGGTGGAGGAGAAGGAAGTCACATATTTGTTTTGGTCATTGGTATAGAATCTAACTCATTAGTCAACAGAGCCAAATATCAACAGTACAACGATTGAAATTTCTTTTGAGAGCCAAATTTTTTAAACTTAAACTATATAGGTAGGTACATCGTTATTAACTTAATTAGGGTACTCCTAAGGCTTAGGAAGAGCCACACTCCAGGGGCCAAAGAGCCGCATGTGGCTCGCGAGCCGCAGTTTGCTGACCACGGGTATAGATGGATGGTCCTGGGAGCAAGTCAGGGGTTATTTTTCACTGACAGTTAGTAGAGGTGTAGGAAGGGAGTCATGTTTGTTTGGTGTTTGGTGTCAATGACCTTCCAAGGCCCCTTTGATCTCTGACAAACTATGATTCTTGGGCATATTATTATCTCTTTGTCTTTCTGAGTATTGCCATCTCTAATAGCTTAGGCTCTGAAATTGCCTTCTCTGACTATGGTCTCTACTTCATTTACTTTTCCTGTTGTTTACTCCCACCATCTTTGTTCTTTATTCTCATAGCAAAACATATCTTGAATCTGTTCATGTTTCTCTGTCCCCTTTGCTACCATTGTAACACTGGATAACCTTATTTCTTGATTAGAATAATGGAATAGCTACCTAATAGATCTCTCTGATTCCATTTCTGCTCCTCCTACAAAGCAGCCAGAGTATAGTGTGGGATATTACCTTGGTGCAATGGTGGCCTCCAAGAAGCATGCATACGGGCTTTCCAGAGACCACAGAACAGAAGCCTCATGGGCCAAATTAAAATGCATCAATCACATGATGCATTCAAATGATTTCAAATACATCGCAAGAAGCAAGGGGAAAGAGATGAGGTAGGTTCACACACTTAGGGCAGGGTAAAAGTGAGTGGAATGACCACCTTGCCTGAATCTGGGGGTAAGCAATGGTCCTATGTGTCTCCTTGTGCTGCATCAGCCCTTCCTGCTAATTAGTGTGGTTGGGAGACCAGAGTGGAAGTTCAAGAAGAACCAAAGACAGAAGGGACGTTGGGGTAATGGCACATACTGTATCAGAGAGATGCAAGGACAGTGGGCCTGGCCATAGCTGCAGCTCACCAACACACCTGCTGAATAGTAGAGACTTTGTGTTTCTTGGGCAAAGGACACATGGGGCCAGAATGTGTGTCACCAGTGGATGAGTGGCCGAGTTAAGGCCTCATGAATATTGAGTACTCATGAATATTTACTATATCTTGTAGATTAGTGTATGATGAATATTTAGAACCCAGGTGCCTCATGTATACTTAATATACACTGAAAATTAGTTATCTCTTGGTTCTTCCATACCTTTCTTTCTATGTTTAAAATATACACGCTCTACTTCAGTTATGGCGAACCTATGACACGTGTGTCAGAGGTGACACGCGAACTCATTTTTTTTGGGTTGATTTTTCTTTGTTAAATGGCATTTAAATATATAAAATAAATATCAAAAATATAAGTCTTTGTTTTACTATGGTTGCAAATATCAAAAAATTTCTATATGTGACACGGCACCAGAGTTAAGTTAGGGTTTTTCAAAATGCTGACACTCCGAGCTCAAAAGGTTCGCCATCACTGCTCTACTTACTATTTACTTATTGTTATTAACAGATTTTATGATTTTCTGCCTATGTCGAATAAACTTTTTGTTTGCTACTTATTTGGCTTAGTGCCTCCATATTGATATACTATATTGGATTCTAGGGGGAGAAATAGAGGAATTTGGGGACCTTGAGAATAAGCTGGTGATGAGTCAGTATGCAAAGGACTTCCTTCAATGCTCAAGGGATTGAGGTTTTACTTAATTTTTTAAAAATATATTTTTGTTGATTTCAGAGAAGGGAGAGGGAAGGAGAGATAGAAACATCAATGATGAGAGAGAATCATTGCTCAACTGCCTCTTGTGCTTCCCCCATACAGGGCATGTGCCCTGACTAGGAACTGAACCGTGACCTTCTGGTTCATAGGCCAATGCTCAACCACTGAGCCACACCAGCTGTGTAATTGAACTTTTTCTTAGAGCATGGCTTCATTGTGTCTGGATGATGAATTGGGAGCCAGTCAGCATTGCCAACCTATTTTCTGCCAGGCACTGTGCTTGTTTTGGAGGGAATGGAAAAGGAATAAGACCTGTTATACTCCTATCTTGTGGAGCTTATAGGCGAGCAGGTTTAGAGAGAGAAGGGAACAGGTGACTAGTCCAAGAGTTCTGCAATTGTTTAGGTTAGAAATTCTGAGTGGTCAGACCAGAACTTTGATGGAGGAAATAGAAAATAGGGGAAAGATTTTAGAGACATTTGGTTGGCAGAGTTGATAGGCCTTGAGAAGTGCTTAAATACACAGTATGAGGAAGGGGAATATCTAATGATAAAGTGTCTACTTTATCATTATGTTATTTAATCCCCTAACAACCATCTAAAGTAGGTCATTGTCGGTTTTACAGAAAAGGAAACAGGCTTAGAGAGATAATTTGCTCCATCTGAGTCTTAAATGATTGCCTCGGAGCTCACTGTGTGGCTGATGCATTAATAAAGCCCAGGAGCATGGAGCAAGGAGCAGCATTGGGTTTGGAGCGGAGGTATGTTTGTTTGGGTCATGAGGACTTTGAAGGTGTGTTGGGACATCTGTATGGTGATGCCCGCCAGGCAGGTGGAACCTTGACATTTATTTTCAGGGAAAAAGTCAAGACTAGAGATGTGGACTGGGAACTAGGGGTGTCCAGATTATGAATACAATTAGGCTTATTCCACCATGTTGGAATAGAGCTGCTGTTGAGGTGGTGGAAAGAGGAAGAAGATTTGATTTGGTGTCTGTGCTTGATTTTACTAGTGGAGGGAGAAGGGAGAATTGGTCTGAGGAGGCAATATGAGCTGTCCTCATTATTCATTGTGTTTTAACTGATATACTCTATACTCCCTGGTCTTTTCATTTGAATAACTTATGATTTAATGGTAAATCTTTTAGGAAATATGGAAATGTATATATATATTTCAGAGAGGAAGGGAGAGGGAGAGAGAGACAGAAGCATCAATGATGAGAGAGAATCATTGATCAGCTGCCTCCTGCACACCCGAGGATATTTTCCCATTGATTTCCATAGAGAGTGGAAGAGAAAGGGAAAGACAGAAAGAAATATCAATGTGAGAGAAACATATTGATTGGTTGCCCCCTCCACACATCCTGACCAGGGCCTGGGCCTGGGAGGAGCCTGCAACCGAGGTATGTGCCCTTGACCAGAATCAAATGTAGGACCCTTTGGTCCGCAGACCGACACTCCATCCACTGAGCCAAACCAGCTAAAGCGGCCTTGATATTTAAAAAAAAGTTTTCACAAATTTTTAACGTTGAAAGTGTGACATTTTATTTTGTAAACGGACAAGAGGTCTCTGACTCTTTAGAGTCATTTTTGAACATGTATAAGGCAGTTTTTAAAGATTTACAAAAATGTATTAGAAAATACTTGAAGAACTATTTCAGAAAAGAAAGAAAATTTATAACTTTTAATTTCCATGAGCATGTATTTTACGTAAGTGTGTATATTAGGTAAGTGACGTATTGTTTTAATAAAATATTTTCTTGTAAGTTTACACTTAAATGCTTTACTCTGATATTCTCTACATAAGCCTTCCTTATTTTTGATTACCTTCCCTACATGACACCAAATTTACACGTGATGGACAGGAAGTCTAGGACATCCCGAACCTGCATTAGTGACTTGCATTGATTTTTATTATTATTTTTAAG